TAATACTGTAATTTCCTTGGATGTATGATGAACCTAACACTGTATAAATGATCTTTGATATTTATCTTGCTGTACTGCTATGCTCAAGGTCAGCTTGTGTTTGGCCAGAAGCTGTGAAAGACTTTCATTTTCACTAGCAGTGAATGTTGCAAGGAATTGAAGCCCACATGTGATCTCCAAGGCACACTGGGCTAGGAATTTAGACTGCCACTCTGTCTTGTCCAAGCAGATTTCTGTTGTAATCAACCAGAATATCTGGACTGGGTCACCGTTTTCTTTTTCGTGTTCTCTGTGCACTCTGTGGTAGAAATACTTGAAGGAACATAAGTTAAATGGCGGTGAAAGGGGCCAGGGATTTAGTTCAGTGGTTATGGCTCCTGCCTTGCAAGCGCAAGGACCCAAGTTTGATCCCCAGTAACACACACACACACACACACACACACACACACACACCCACACTAATAAATGGCAGTGAAAGCAAAAACCATAGATTAAGAAATTACATTGAACAATTAAGAAGGGGCTATATTTGTGGGCACATACTGTTTTATTAAGGTTGATCACCTCCCCAATGAGGATGAGGGATGGACGTGGAAAGGGAAAATGTGTCTAATTCTTTCTTAAACTGGGCATGGTGGCGCATGCCTGTAATCCCAGCACTTGGGAGGCTGAGGCAGGAGGATCACTGTGAGTTCAAGACAGTCTTGGCTACATAGTGAGTTCCAGGTCAATCTCAACTACATAGTGAGACCCTGTCTCAAAAAAAATGAAAAAAAAAAGTCTTTTTTAATACTCTGTTGGACAAATTGATCATAAAACCAAGTTCCAAAATTTTAAAAAATATCTTAAATGTTGTACTTTTTTTTTTTTACCTGACTGTGAAACATCTTCATAAGTACATTTGCCTGGATTCTGCTATAAATGAGCTAGAGCAGTGGTGGGGAACTTATGCCATGCGTGTTATTATTTTTTTAAGACAAAAGATGTTAATGTATGAGTTGTTTTTTGTAAACTAAAACCTCAATATTCAGATTTAATTACGTTGTTGGCACTTTGAGATAAATAAGTAGGTTTTGGCTTGTAGGTTGGGCACTCATCTCTAAAAGGTTCGCCATTACTAAATTACAGTATTCTTAGAGCACAGCTAGCAAAAACAAGCAATGTTTTATTTTTTTGTAAAGCAATACATTTTGACACCATTGAGACAGCAGTGCTTTCTGAGGGGCAAGCATGCAGTAGGGTTTTGAAGAAACTTTAAAATTATTGTATATTTGGCCAGAGATTTAGCTCTGTGGTTCCAGTGCCTGCTTCACAAGCTCAAGAACCCAAGTTTGATCCCTGGTACCAAAAAAAACCAAAAACCAAACCAAAACAAAAATTATTATATATGATGATGAACTGAACAGAGCATGTAATATACATAAGCAAGGAAAAGATCTCTGAAGTTTTAATATGCAGTTTGATGACTTCCTCTTGAGTCAGCTGTCAGAAAACCTTAGGCATGTTCTTGCCATCATTCTGCCGTGGAGCTCTAATGCGTGCCTCGGGCACCTTGGGCTGCCACTGTGTGTGTTCATCAAATATTGCATTGTGAATTGCTCTGCTCCTTTATTTAGTCTCTCTCTAATTAAAGAGGTCAAATTGCTATCTGCTCAGCCTTTAGTTCCTTTTCACAGTTTCCCAAGCTTTTAAAAATAAATGCCTTATTCCTTTCAAGTTAAAAAGAGACAAAACCTATTTCCTGTCTTTACCACTGTGATCTTGTCTAGAAAGTCAAATTGGAACTAATTTATTAGGAGTGTTTGGTAGCTGGGGTACTGTTTGGTGAAAGAGGCCGCAGGTACCTGGGCACAATCTGCTTATTTAAAAGGTAAGGCTTGCATTAAAATGCAGACAGATGGAAGGCCACACTCTAATCAGATGAAGTAATTAGATTAATTATTGAAGGATAGATAGAGGGTAAAAATTTATGTTTCTTTACCTTGTAGTGAGATACATCTCCTACTTAAATCTTGAAAGCACTAATAAATATTTATGCCATTAATGCAGCTGAGCTTTTTTTCATAGTAAATTTTATACTTTACCCCAATTTTAAGTTATCCTATGGCAACCTTTCTTGAAAAGAGCACTCGGTATTATTATGTGGTAGAAAGTATGCTTCTCTTTATTGAAAATGAGATATCATATCACTCTCTAGAAGTAAGCAGTTTAATTTCTTGAGCAATGCAGTGCCTTAATGCAATGTGAAGTAGTTTGTAAGTAATAAAATGAACTCATTTTAGAATTGAGACTATGTTAATAACATAGGCCAATATTTTAAAAGTTTAATTTAGAATAAACTCTCATTGTGCATAAAATCTTAACTTGCTATTTTAAAAGTCTTTATCTTCAAATTTTTAACTACCATAATAGTATTGAAGCTACATCGATCGATAAGAGGAGAGACCCATACAAGCTATTGAATGTATTAGGTATTATAGAATTATAATATCTTACTATAAAATGTTTGGACTATTTTTTTTTTATTAATTTTAAATGATGGTTTTTTTGTTTTGTTTTATTTTTTGGTTTTTTTTTTGGTACTGGGATTGAACTTGGGTCCTTGAGCTTGCAAAGCAGGCCACCGAACTGCTGAGCCAAATCCCTGGCCCTAAGTAATTGTTAATAATAGTACCAGTTTGCTACCAAAGGATGAATTAATATTATGAACAAAATTTTTTAGTTTCTAAAAATAGTCCTGCAGCTTTTATTGTGATTCTTACAAAATTCATTCCTTATTCAAGTATTCACTGAGCATCTACTGTGTCCTCGGTACTCTGCCAGATGTTGGGGAATTAATCACACACACAGCAGTTTCTTTAATGAAATATCTATTTCAAACTAGAACTGAAGTCAACTAGTTAGGTATAGCAGAGAGCTGGCTCACATTTGACTTAGGTTCTAGTTTTATTTAAATTAGATAATCGAGGAGGAAACACCTGTGCTGTTTAATAAAGCTATTAGAATAAAAGGACAGAGCTACAGGTACAGGAAATTGAAAGTAGGACTTTGCACAGGCTGAAGGACCCATGCTGGGAACTGAGGAAAGTTCTTGACCTTTCCTCACAGCTTCTTCCAAAGTTGTGCAATGAAATTTTACCCAAGGCTGTGAACTTTTAAGACTGCAAGCTGCAAGAAGCCTTTCTGAGGCAAGTCCCTTTGCTTATTATATGTAAAACAAACTGCAACTGCACTGCCAGGGTGAAAAGATTTTTGTTGCGCTGAAATTTGAAAGTAGAACAAAGTCAGGTTTTTAAAAAAGTTTTTCTTTTTTCCTTGTCCTCTTGCACGTCCTCTTTTAGTGCTTCTTTTACTATTTTGACAGGAGGAACCCTTCATGATTGTCTGCTTTTCTATGTTAATAGAAACTTATATTTTAATGTATAAAAATATTTAATGGATAATTTGGTGATAACATTATAGGTATTCAGAATTCATAATTGTTTCTCTTTCTTAAAGGCTGGTAAATAGTGGATTATAAAATAATACACTTTTGTATATAAGAGTGAAGGGCTATTTGAGCTGGACTCCGGTTTGCTGATTTACATAGCTAAACATTTGGATTTCACATTTCAGGGACAGTTTTGGCATATAATTTATTTTAATTTGTGTTGGAATCAAGGAAACATTCCCAATGTAATAAAAATCTCAAAAAAAAAAATGAAGATTTCGTTCACCAGAGTTAAGATTCTTCAATTAATAGGGTCTAAAATCTGAATACAATCTCCCTTACTAAAACAACAGCAGAAACTCATTTTAAAGCATAGATATGCTTGGATAGTAATTTTAAAACATGTATAGAGGGAAGAAAACAATTATTTGGATATTTGATATATGAATTAATACTAAGCCAGGAGCTGTCTATATATCAGGTATGCATCTAAACTTAAAGTCTGTTCTGTTTTCAACAACTTATCTAGTGTTGATAGTTTTAAAGTCTATAGTGAATCTCAATTTTATTTCTCCCACATTTTTCAAATATATGTCTTTAATACCAGTCATCATATGCAGTGATTACCAGTGGCAAGGTTATGCTCACTATAGAATTGGGTAGTCTAGTGAAATCTCTGGGCAGCGAGCGGCATACAAATTTGAAGACGGGCTCTTTTTTTTTTTTTTCTTTTTCTGGTACTGGGAATCGAACTCAGGACCTTGCACTTGCCAGGAAGGCACAGCACTATTCACAGTTTGGAAAGGTCCTCCCACACTCCAGTCTAGGAGGGACATTTATGTCTCAGCTAGAATCTCACCAGATATTCCTTTCAGTAGAGATATTTCTATTTCCCATTGTATTAGGCAACTTTTCCTCACTGTGATCAAATTCTTGAGAAAAACAACTTGAAAGATTCATTTTGGAACATAGTCTGTGTGTGTTGTGCTGGGTCCAGCAGTATAGGCCTGTGGTGAGGCAGAATATTGTGACGGAGAATGGGGGCAAGGGAACGCTGCTAACCTCATGACAGCCACGGAGCAGAGAGGGTTAGAGAGTCCATCAGCTGGCCACCAAACCTTTAACAAAATAAGCCTTCTGGGGGACATTTGGGATCCCAACTGCCACCACCCACCTGCCAAAAAACACATTTTAAAAATCCATTTGTGGGTTGGTAAAATGGAATAACCTATAGGGAAAAGAGAAAAATGAGTTAAAATTAATTTAAATGCAACATTATAAACAGACTAGAAAATTTATTGTGTGGAATAGGTATATAGTTATCACCACAAATGAGAAACTCTTGACTCCAGGATATTTTAAAAATGCTTCAGGGAGAGGCTTTTAGCTATGTGCTGTCATCAGCAGACAATGCAGTTACTTCTCGGGGCGAAAAATTAAGCTCCAAGTCTTGGGACACCGGAAGAGTAAGTGACTCTTTCCTTCATTTACAGGTGACTGTGCTACCATTTCAGGTTTTTAAGCTTCCTGTATTACTGTCTCAGTGTTTGTCACCTCTGTGTTTTTTCAGTACCCATTGTAAAGCAGACTTGGGAGGGACAGGCAAGTCTAGTCGAGTACTACAGCGACTATGCAGACAGCGCCATCCCTACTGTGGATTTGGGGATTCCTAATACAGATAGAGGTAAGGCCTTAGTTCCTTTTATTAAAAATCCTCATCCTATAAATGCAACAAATTAGGATAAAATGAATTATTTAGAACTGTAGGTTTTGCCTGTCGGTTTTTTTTCTTCTTAGGGCCAATATCTTTACCTACAGATGTAGACAGATTCTTCAAATCAAAGGTTTTGTAGTAGAAAGTGTTGTACATTTTTAGTCAGTTTTATTGCTGTGATTGAGCACATGGAAGTTATAATGGAGTTGAAGAATAGAGTTTTCTTATCTCCATAGTGTATCATGGCCATTAGGGGACTTGCAAAGTTAACTTGTTATCTTCCCACACTGAGTTTCCATCCTCCTAAATATTATGGTCTGCTTCACATTTCACAGGTATTTCTGAGTAGCAATTGACCCCCTTGCTGTACTGATTATGTTCAGAGTAAGCTATATCACCTGTGTTAATCTTTTCATTAGTATATTGTTGGAAGTATACCTGCTTTTTTTCTTTGATGCCAAGTTTTCTAATTAAAATCATTTTTTCCCATTTTATGGTACTGGGAATTGAACCCAAGGCTGTTCAACTGCTGAGCTATATATGCAGCTCCTTTTTTTCATTTTATTTCTGAGACAGTCACTGAGTTCCCAAGCTAACCTCAAACTTGTAATCCTTCTGCCCCAGCTTGTCAACTAGCTAGAATTACATGCCCTGATCACCATGCGTGGCTACATTTTTTTTTTTAATTTAAAAAAATGAAAGTAGAAATTTGACCATTTTATTATTTGTCTTGATGCTTATCCAACATTACTGCCACTTTTTTTATTCCTCATACCCTTTTACAAAAAAAAAATACAAATAGTAAGCTATTTTGTCTGTAGAAGTTTATTTTGATTACTTGATTGCCACGATATTCACCCAGGAAGGAACACACTGTACACATTGGAAAGGGAACAGACCTTTACTAGTCTGGCCAGACAGCATTCCTGGAGCCAAGCAGCTCAGAGAGGTGCCAGTTTAGGGTCGGAGGTCCTTTTATAAGGCGATAGGCAGGGTGGGGGTCTACTCAAGATGCTTACAGAATGTCCCAAGGTTTTCAAAACATTCCTTCTGGGCAGACAAAGCGTGAAACAATCTTTATCTATTTACCCAGAACTGCTAAATGTTTACCTGTTAATTTACATTAATCACAGTTGAGACTAGGATTTAGATTACAAAGTTCTGCAGTCTTACATTCCTAAGCAAAGGTACGGGTGCAACTACAAAGGGGAGTGGTACACAACGGCCTCTGGGGCCATAACTCATCCAACATGGACTCACTTTAGTTCAGTTAGGTCTTACATTCTCCACTGATTTTAGGTAGAATCAAATCCTTGATTCATCATTTTACTTAAATTTTTAGCTAAGGGGTCACAGCAATTTGTAAAGGCATCTCTTAGACAAGTTGGGGATTAGGATCCCCAGAGCACATAAAAGTCACATATTTTTATCATCTGTAGGCTCATAAATTCTTAATTTACAAGCATAATAGCTCATAAGAGTCCATATCTAGATTGTAGTGCTCATTCTTCAGCCATGCGTAGACTCACCAGCTTCCGGGGTGGTGAGACAGGGCTTTGAGTGCGTTGTCTCCTCCGGAGGATTTCCAAGGTTTGTGCCTGAGAGTCTCCTGCTGGATCCCCCTACGGAGTTTTGGCTGGACTGGGGGTTCCCACCCAGGGATCTCGCTGGGGCCTCCAAAATGTAAGACCTAAGGCCTTATTACCACTCCAAGGAGCTCAACAGCCACCGAAGGCTTTCAAACAGTAAGACCAAGGGCCTTACTTACCACTCCGAAGAGCTTGATTGCCACGATATTCACCCAGGAAGGAACACACTGTACACATTGGAAAGGGAACAGACCTTTACTAGTCTGGCCAGACGACACTTCTGGAACCAAGCAGCTCAGAGAGGCCTGTTTTATATTATTGTCATTTATAATTATTTGGTAATAAAGTTCAAGGTACAATATTCCAATTCTATATTTACAGATTCTTCTGGCAAGTTTAAATGTGGAGACTGCTATTCTTTGTTTTGCAAAAAATATTTCACGTTGAATTTTTTCTTGTTAACCTTGCTTTGTAAAACTTTAGATTATTTTAATAATCATTTATTTATTCACTTATTCTTTATTTGATTTCTTCATTTATTTTTAGTCTGACTATATTGTTGCCTGTGTTTGTACTCTCTTTGATTCCCAAAGCAATTGAAATTATGAAATAAATGAATTCTTATGGAATAAATGAAGTTATTTATTCAGTAAGCTTCAAGAGTACATACTGTAGTGGTTAAAAATATGTAAGGAGAAAGCCAGGTATGATGGCTCATGTCTCTAATCCCAGTACTTAAGGCAGGAAGATCACAAACTTGAGTTCAGACTGGGCCGTACCACTGAGCTAAATCCCCAACCCTGGGTCTCTCTTATCTAGTACTGTATTGTTCTTTCTTTTTATTGAGTTTATTGGTACATTTTAGGTATAAAGTACATTTACATTCATTTTTGGGATCTTGTACCTTTACATGACAGGTCTTGGTTCTCATTTTTTCCCCTTGTCCCTGCCCTCCCTTCATCCCCTTCTAGTACTATATTTTTAATATGTATCTTCCTACCTGCCACTGTATCTGGCATGTTAATAACTTAGTTGCAAATATTTACCAAATAAATGAATCAAAGTAGAATCTTCACTTTTGCACCATCACTTCTCTGTAGTCAGAGTGCTCAGAGTTCTTACAGTTCCTTCAGCATAAGCGCATCTCCACAACATAAGTCTCCTGGAGATGCTGTGAGATTTGCGACCTTCTTATTTGTCTGGACTGAAGAGCTAATTCTATCTTTACCTGAGATTATTTGTGTGATCTTGTATAGTTCCTCTAATCTCTTCCAGTCTCCATTTCCCCATAGCTTAGACTTCAGAATCTTTAAAGTTCCTATTGATTCATTATATCTATGAAAATTAGAAATTAGAGACAACCAATTTCTAGGAAAATTACAGGTCATTAAAGTGGTCAAGATTCAACCTTTTACAACACTTTGAAAATTAAAAAAAAAACAATTCTATGTATTTTAGAGAAAATCAGATATGTCTTAAGTCTTCTTCTTAACTATCCTAGGTCATTGTGGAAAAACATTTGCCATTTTGGAAAGATTTTTGAATCATAGCCATGACAAAATAGCATGGCTAGTCATTGTGGATGATGATACACTAATAAGGTAAGGAGTCATTCTCATCCTAAGTAGCTTTAAATTTTAAAAATATTTATATTTGAAAACTGTGGTAGGTGCTCTGCTTCTGGCAAAGATGGACTCCAAGGCAGGAAGGGCATAGTGGAAATGTCTGGCAGAGGAAACAGGGAGAAGGAGGGAACCAGGAGGGAGATTTTCAACAGACTCCAGCAAGGAGATTGTGAATCGCAGATTTTGTATGTGGTTTGTGTCTCAATATTATGGCTATAGAAAAACTCTTCAGTGCCCATGAATTCCAGGAATAGTGTATATTCCTGGGGAATATATATTAGAGAAAGAATTTGACCCAATCAAGAGGGATGAAATTTGGGCAAAAATGTGTGTTTAAAAAGCAAAGAAATGTACTTAAATGGGCAGACACGGTAAATATAACATGATACATAAAATAATTGTATCCTAAAATAATTATATAGTGGTGAAACCAGTTATCAGTCATGTCAATAAGTATGAAGCATTTAATTCACCTAATGAAAGAACAAACTTTTCCAATGGACTCATAAAGCAAATCCCTTCTATATATGAGATGCACACAGGCATAGTCATTCAAATAGTCTAAAGATAAACAACAGATAAAGATTTATCTAGCCAGTGGAACAGTCACAATAAATTCAATACCCAACTCAAAAACTAGAAAAAAATACAACAAAGTGAATCCAAAGCAGCACAAAGAATAATACTAATAAAATAAATGTAAAAATAATGAAATAGAAAACAAGCAGAGGGCCAAATTAATGAATTAAAATTGTTTTCTTGAAAAATAAATTATATTGAATGATATCCAAGAGATATTGTATTTTATTCTGTATGTGGGAAAGAAATGGTAATAAAAACATACCTATATCTGCCTAACCTTACAAAAAAAGGGGGTAAAGGTATAAAAAAGGGAGAAATAAACCTGCAAGGTATGAAAGCAGCACTATTAATTGTAGAAAATAGTTTCTCAGTGCTATTTAAAAGGGGTAGGGTGGAGGAATAAGATGGATGAGGTAGGGGAATGTGCAATATTTCTTTTGAATTTATCTCAGGTTAGTGTGTTTGTGATAGGTTTGTTTTGTTTTTAAATAAACTTCAGAAGATTGCTGCTCAGTTGAGGATGCAATTTTGAGGTAAGGGCGTAAGAGTGGTCATGTTCTGGGGAAGGTCCTCTTCTGAGTTACACTTGCCAATTTCTCTGTGTCCTCAAATGTAGAAGAAGCAGCTAGTTCTCTAACCTAGTTAATTCCATTCATGAGGGCTTCATCCCTATAGCCTGATTACCCCTGAAAGACCCACCTCAAAATAGTAGTATGTCTGGGATTGGGTTACAACATATGTATTTTTGGAGGCTACAATCACTCACTTCATAACAGCTCCCAGTAGTTCTTTGTGTAGATTGCTGACTGCTTAAAAAAAGTCTTAATTTTAATTAGAATTGAGAGAAAGCACTCTAAAATTACTTATCTCACCTTCATCTGGTCTATTGATAGTGTTTTTAGGGTTTATTTCATTTTTTTATTGTAGTATACGTAACAAAATTACCATCATAACCATTTTAAAATGCACAGCTCAGTGGGAGGAAATGCATTCACAGTACTGTGCAACCATCTCCATAACTCTTTTCATCCTATAAAACTAAATTCTGTACCCATTAAAAAATAACTTCCTATTTCCGTCTGGCCCAGCTCCTGATAAGCACCGTACTGTTTTCTGTTTCTGTGAACTTGACAACTCTAAGTACTTCATCTAAGTAGACTCACGAAGTATTTGTCTCTTTGTGAGTTGCTTATTTCACTTAGCACAATGTCTTTGAAGTTTATGCATGTTATAGCATATTCCTTTCTTTTTAAGGTTGACTAATACTCTACTGACTGTATATATCATCTTTTGCTTATCCATTCATCTGTTGGTGGACACTCAGGTTGCTTTCATGTGGTAGCTTTTGTGAATATGCTGCTATGAACATGGCTGTACTAATATCTCTTCAAGGTCTTCTAGTCTTTTGGATATATTCCAAGAAGTAGAATTGCTGGGTCATATAGTAATTTTGTTTGACTTGGGGAAGCATGCTAATAATATTTTGCATATTTAGAAATAAGACAAATCAACAAGGGCAGGAAAAAATTCTACAAGGATGGGAAGAAAACAAACAAGTGAATTCACTGGTATTTTAAACTAAAATATAATCACACTGAAGGGAAAAATACAATTAATGCAAGTACAGTAACTATTAAAAGATGTACCTTTAGTCAGGAATGAGAAGGGAAGAATTTTAAACACACTCTGACTTTTAGTAGGTCTGAGTTTTTAAGTGGTGTGGGTGGAGCACTTCTGAGTTTATTTTAGGTTCATTGTAGGATGGAATAAATGTTAATATTTTGGAGAGTCAATCTCCACACTTTGGAATGAAAATGTGAATTAAAAATGGAGCAGGTCAAGGAAAAGTTCCATGGGAATAGATTGGAATTAGAGTAACCTGAAAGAATTTATGATTTTTGTAAGAACTTATGATTTCTAAGGTCAATTGTGTGTGTGTGTGTGTGTGTGTGTGTGTGTGTGTGTGTTCACATACACATGTCCTAGCTCTTTCTGCAGTAAGAGTTTGGAAGCAAAGATATTCAAATAGCGCTGAGAAACTATTTTCTACAATTAATAGTGCTGCTTTCATCATTAAAGAAAGCAGAGTTTCTTAGAGAAACAGCTGATTCTAGGGCTGAGGCAAGACAGGTACAAAACGTATGTAGAACATCTTTTTTTGTCAGAAAACAAGGAAGTGCTTTTTTAAAAAAGGAAATAAAGAGGGTCCAGATAATTAGCTCAGTGGCAATGGGACTGCCTTGCAAGCTCAAAAGTTTTGAATTTGATTCCCCATACCTGGAAAAAAAGAGAAATAAAAATAGAAAAGAACATGTCAAGAGAACACAGAAAACAACTTGGTCAAATCTGGGACAAATTAAATATCAGTTAATTAAAAACAATAATGAATTATTATTTAAATTAGGAGCTGATGAGCTGATTCAAGAAAGAAAGGAAGAAGGAAAAAGACGAAGGAAAAGAGAGAAGTGTAGATTTTTGCTTGCAGAATAATGAGTTCTAATTGATAAATGAGCAGGGAATGAGAGAGTTGGAAGTCATCACTTTGTAACCATCATAGTAAAGACTGATTGAAGGAAGAATCACTAATTTATGCTAAAGTAGGGATATATTTTGATGAGGACTGCGATATTTGCATATGTCAAAGCCTCTGCCTAGAGATTTTTAGAAATTGCAAGGGAACTACTGTTATTCTCCCAGGGGAGAATGAATGTTAGCAGTGATGGACAGAGGGACATTGTGTGTCACACCCTGCATTGCTTATGGCATACTGTGAATAGGCATGCATGGCTTGAGCTTTACTGTGGGGAAATATCAAGCAAACCAAGCACAAGGATCAGTCTGTTCTAAGAAGATGGGGATATCGATGTTGCCAGGCATGCTTGTAATCCCAGTTTTCAGGAAGCTGAGGCAGGAGGATCACCATGAGTTCAAGGCCAGCCTGGGCTACATAGTGAGTTCAAGACCAGCCTGTACTACTGACTACATACTGAGATCCTGTCTGGAAAACACAAAATTTTTTTTAAATTAAAAAAAAAAGGAAAAGATACCAATGTTTTGAAAAACAGTAGCAATAGAAGTGGTTCCAGAGTAAAGACAAGTGATATGGTAAATAAATTCAGTAAGAGATCCAGGGCTTCATCCTATACTGTTCAGGAAAGAATGCTATAAATGACATTATTGAGTCAATTGATAAAATTAAAATATAGTGGTTAACTTAAATAAAAGCACATGTCAGTATTTCAGTTTCAAGTTCTTATGAGACTACTGTATATTTTCATGTATAGGTCTCTAGATAGACATTTTTCATTTCTTTCAGCTAAATACCTAGGGAAAGGCTGGGGCAGCTAGCAGGTGTATGTTTAACTTTGTAAAAAACTCATTGTATCAATGTTAAAGTTTTTGAAATTGCTAATTTTTCCCATTCTTAGGAAATATACATTAATATTTGGGGGGCATGAGATATGCAGATTTCTTTAGTATTTTAGAAAAAGGAAGCATGCATGTACACATGCATTTCTATGGATGAATGTGTATGTACTTGTGGATGGTATACACATAAGCAGAAAAGAGAGTGAACGATAAGGGTGTGAATGTTAACAATTGGTAAATCTGGGTAAAGGGTATATGGGAGGTCTTTGTTTTATTCTTGCAACTTTCTATGATCTTGATATTATCCCTAAATAAAAAGTTAAAAAATAATTACTCTAGTAGTTCAGGGTAGAACATGTTCTGTATTTTAAAGATCAGTATTACAGTGTTAAAATTTGTCTGTACTACTAAGATACCATAGTTCTGGTAGCACGCACTGTAAAGCATTGCCATACTGTTCTTCATTTCTGTGCCTTAAAATTTCCAGAAATGGGAACAGATTGTTAAGTGAAGTTCTTTTCCTGGAACGGTAGCCAAACCCCCTAGACAGAATTGGAGATTAACTGCTTTATCCATATTTCCGCTGTTTAGTGAATATGAAATATGTGATAATTATCAGGTTCCATTTGTGATCCTTTAGTTTTAAAATAATACTGTCAGTATGGAAATGGTGTTAGAAGGAAAAGAAACCCACAGGAGACGTTAAATCCCAGTTATTTTAACCTTAGAAATCAGAGGTCATGTGTTGAATTGACAATTTCACATTAGGCAAGAGGAAGAGGAAGGGAGATACCATATAGTTCTCATTTTCTTTTCAGACCTAGAAGTAGATATAAATTTGCCCTACAAAGCTTCACATTTTTGTAAAGCCAAATAAAGATTGTAAAAAAAAAAAAAAACAAAGGCTGTTACTCTTAGAGTATATATTGTCTGTCACTGAATAGTATCATCACTCTTACTTGTCTTCCATTGCAATTAGTATTTCTCAGAAGACTTCTTGAAGAGTGGATCCAAATTAGGTGCTTAGAATATTTAATGTACATGCCCAAAACAGCCCTTTGTCCAGCGACAGTGTTTTCTGGATGCTCAGAAATTGGTGACATAGAGACCTGACCTTCACACAGATTATAAATTTGATGCCCGGACTTGTAGACCCATTGAGCATCAACCTTGCAGATTTTTTTCATGCATTAAATTTGTTTTCTTCCTTTAGGTTTCAGCTTTGTCGGTTGGGGTATTTCTGTAGATGGATAAGCATGGATGGAAACAATGATGTCCTCTTTTATGTCTCTACTTCATTTTCTCCTCACAAGTCCATTGCCAAACAAAAGAAAACTGAGTCTCTAGAACACTGGTGCACTACATATAAAATTACTCTGTGAGAAAAGCTTTCTTCTGTTAGTTAGACAGAGAAATTCCTGCTATCATGTTCATTTTTTAGAGACTCATGATGCTCATGAATCACAGACTGAGATACATCTCAAAGTTTAGTCCACTAAAAAAATTTAACTCAAAGTTATTGACTAGGGAAAAGCTTTTTCTTTTTTGATCACTGATTAATGTCATGAGGAAAAGTAAGATTTTAGTGATACATGAATTGGAAATTTCTAGATTAGAAGAAATAGAAGGAAACTATAAGATACTTTTGTGTGTTAAAAAAATGCCTTTTTAGCATTAACCTTTCTATTCTTTAAAAAGTTAGGTCTCTATTTTATTTTCCCATGAAATCTTTATTTCATCCTTGTAGTAGATAAAATTGCAGGCAGTATTCTAGCCAGTTTGTGGATATTCTTACCACCTTTTGTCAGCTGTCATTTTGACTCATGACAAAGACAAATTAGGAGCCAAAGGATATTCAAGGGATACAGAAATGGACAGAATTCATGCACCATGGTAGCCTTTTTGAGGCTTATCAGCAATGTTGTGCATTATAATCTTGATTTTCAGGAAAGCCTCCCTACCCACATTCTCTTTCCCCCCCTGCCAGCCTAATGCCTGATATGGACCCTCTCAACTCATTTGCACTTCAAAAATCTCCTCTCTTGGCCATGGAGAGCTAAACCATTAAGTCCTGAAAAGATGTGAGGGTTAATCCACACTCAGAAATAAATAGGGCTGGTAGAAGTGAGATAGATAGCCACTGGCTACCTTCCTTTCACCTGCCACCTGCTTGCCCAAGACAGGTAGCTATTTTCTGGCTGGGGCTGGTTCATACTGGGGGGTGCTGGTTTCTTAATTTCTCTTCTTTTTCCAATATTTATATTTTTTGGCCTTTTAAAATCTATTTTATTCTATAAATCACTTGAATTTCGGTATACTGTTATACAATATAAAACATAGAAAGTAAGCGAAAAGTACTTATTCTGAAATGGCATTTGACTTAAGTAATTGTTACTTATGTTCCTTTTGGCATCTCAGCATCTCCAGGCTGCAGCACTTGCTTAGCTGCTACAACTCCAGTGAACCAGTGTTTCTGGGAGAACGCTACGGCTATGGGCTGGGCACTGGTGGTTATAGCTATGTCACAGGAGGAGGAGGGTAAGTACGAGCTCAGCTATTTGCAAATACAGTCATCTTTCAGTACCCTTGTGGGGTTGAGACCAACACCTCCACATGGATGCTCAAGGTCCTTATATAAAATGCAGCATTTGTGTATAACCTCTGTAATCTCCTGTGGAAATCATTTCTAGATTACCTGTAATTCCCATTACAGTATAGTGGTTTTTGTATTGTATTGTTTTGGGAATAATAATAAGAAAAAAGTATCTGCACATTTTCAAAACAGATAGGTTTTTAAAAAACATTTTTGATCTGCGGTTGTTTGGATTCATGAATGTGGAATTTACATGCAGAGTTGCCTATAATTAGAACACTAAATGTCTCTTCCCTGAGGCAGAGGTGAGTTTGTGGTGCTGGGTCCCACACTGACACATGAGTGCTCCTTAAATGATACTGTTGCTATAGTGGAAAGTGAAAATTATAATTGTGAAATGCAAAAAGAGCCCACAGCAAATAACATTTTACCCTTTCAGGAAATAGCATAGAAATATATGCCAGAGTCCTTGGTGGAAAGAAATTTCTCTGTAATAGCAATTGTTCTAGGCAGCCAACTAGTTTTGATTGTCTGTTTAAATGAAAAAAATTACTCATTGATTTTAATTTCAGAAAATAAGCCATCAGACATTTAAATTACCTAATGCTTAATAAATCACTTTTGGGAAAATAGTAATATAGAAGCTTAGACTGGCAATTATATAATATTTGTGTAGGATTTATATGTTTTAAATAACAGCTAAGTCAGTCTTTTTAAATGAAGCATCTACCTGATCTCCTATGGGAAAAGATTTTAATTTGATTTATATAGGTAAATCAACTGAGCAGTTAGTGCTTTCTCTTATTGCTATAGTCTTTGCTGTTGGGATATTTAGGGAAAATGTTAACTTTTATCAACTGTAGTCATTTAAATTCTTTTAGCAGATGTTTATTGAATGTTTGCTATATAACAGGTAACTCTATGTATAGGGATTATAAAGTTTTGAGGGACTAGGATTTTATATTCCTATTTTACAATCCCCTAGATTAGAATGGTTCTGTAATAGTCCATTTTTTTTTTCAGTTACTGTAACAGAATACCTGAGGCTGGATAATATATAAAATAAAGTGCCGTATTTAGCTGACAGTCTTGGAAGTCCAAAAGTGTGGTACTGGCATGTGCTTAGCTCTGGTGAGACCTTCTGGTTATATCACGGGGTGGGTGGCATTGTGGCAGGAGTATGTACAAGAGGGAGAGATCACATGTTAAGTCAAGAACCAAGAGGTTCACTTATTTCATAATAACCCACTATTGTGGAACTAGCCAGGGTCCCTGGAAAACTACAGTAATTCCTTCTGAGGATGGTCCTCCCAGTGACCTAATCACTGTCCACCAAGTTTAAAAGTTTCATCACCTTTCAGCATCACCACACTGGAGACCAAGCTTCTAGCACATGAACCTTCAGAGGACACACTCAAACCATTTCCAATCCATAGTAGTTCTCTTCTGTAAGATCTTAAGCATCATCTCACTAGTGTTCTCTTTTGTTTTAGCCAGTTCAGTGGTGAATACCTGGTCAAAAAAGTGGCTTTTTTGCAGTGATAATCAAGCCTGAAGAGGAGTGTTTATTTTTTTTTAAGCAGGGTCATAAATCTATCTGTGATCATTCACAACAAGAAATGAGGGCATGGGAGGCCTTTCTGCTGGCCAAGGGGTGTTGATTTCTTCATTTTAAAAAAGGGTTCAAGGGCTGGGGATTTAGCTTAGTGGTGCTGTCACCTGCCTCGCAAGCACAAGGCCCTGAGTTCGATCCCTGGTATCCCCCGCAAAAAGGGTTCAAGCTATTTGTAGCTGCATAGTGATGGATTTAGATTCTTGAGTGAAGCCTTGGGGGTGATAAATGATCAGGGGGTATGGCATGCATTGAGTCAAGACTTTCCACAAGAAGTATGTTCTTGTGTAATTTCTGCATGATAACTTTTTTGTTGTCCTTCTTGCATATTGGATTTAACTCTTAACTTTTGGCACTTGAGGCCTTCTGAAACCTCAATTTATGTTTCCTAACCAGAAATACCTTTCATGACTCCAGACGATTGTTCATTCGTGCATCTAGTCTTGTGTGTGTCAAGCACTGGCAATGCATAAGTGAAAAAAACCCTATAGCTTTTCCCTACAGGATCTCACAGGCAAAAGCATTGCACAGTTGCTTCTGCTACTCCTTATCCCTGGAGAAGTCCCGTGAGACAGGAAAGCATCTTTAACTTCCCCTGGGTTCAGCCTCTACCTAGTTGCTGATATTTCCCAGCAGCTCTAGTTCCCAGTCTCACAACTTTTGCCCACCACCACCCATCTCATTTGTCCCTTTCAGAACATCTTACTATCTCCATTTTCTCATCTCCACAGTCAGCCTTCTACCTAATCCACCTTACTCCTGTCTCTAGGGACCATGTCATTATTAGTTGAAGCCAGTGGATCTTTCCAGGCTTTATCTTATTTCACCTCTTAGGAGCTGTTGACAAACACTGTGTACTTCAGGCCCTCCTTTCTCTCACCTGCCAGAGCTCTGGCCTATCCTTGCTTATTCCTGCCTTCTTGGTCATACTGTTTTTAACTTATCTTTATAAGTCTGTGTTTCTTAGACATCTTTCTTTTCTAGTCTCCTTTCTCTCCTCACTCTATATCGACCCTGGGTTATTTTACCCACAGGGTTGAATGCATCCATATCATCCATTCCCCTCACTCCAGCCTAGAACTCTCTCCTGACCTCCTGACAGACCCACTTACCAAAGGATATGTTCAGTTTAGATGACTTGCAGGCACATCAGCTCCTGTAGTGAACTCATCATTTCTCATGTTAGTCCCTCATTTGGTTTTTTTCCAGTATCCCTCCCTCAGGACAGGTTTCACCATGTGCAATTTCCTACCAAAGGAGTCTGAGTCACCTCTCTCTTTTTCTTAGCATTTCTTTTTATCTTTTTGAACTTCTTTAAACAATTCAACAGAATTGTTAAGCCATGTTAGTTTTTTCTTCTGTCACTACTTTTTTTGCATCTTTAATAATCACATATAGGGAGCCATCATCTGTTATGTAGCCTGCCCCAGCCTCCTGCAGTCTCTGCTTTTTGCCTTCTGTACTCTATGCTGATATCCCCACCTTTCAAGGAGCCCTTTCTCGTCATCCCCATCATTTTCAATTTTTAGTGCTGGGGTTCCAGTCCAGGGCCTTCCACATGCTAGATACTCTACTATTGAGCTGCATCCCAGCCTTTCTGAGAACCTTTTCTAAAAGCAGATCTTATCCTCTCTTCTCCCTGCTCAGAGACCTTTAGTGACTTTCCATTGCCCTTTTCCCTAAAGATGAAACCCCTCCTTATTTTGGCATCTGAGATGAAGATCTTTCAGATTTCTCAAAGACTTAACTGGATCTGTGATTAGGACTTAATTTTGATTGCCCAAGCAGTACCCTTTTGAGGGGCAATGGTGATTCACTCTAAGCCTTTTCATCCTCATTTGCCCTAATGTTTGCCATTGGTGAACTGGAAGTCTGTCCTTGTGTCTTGCTTAAGTGTTTTCTCATTTTAATTTTTGTTGTCCGACTGTCCTTGGTTTAATCTCTGGATTATCACCCAAATCTTCCTGATATAGTTACGCCCTAGCTTCTGTGTCTCTAGCGACCCACAGACATTCTCATCTTCATAACATCAGAGAAAACAGCTCATCAAATCAACAGCAATGCTTTACCCCAACTGATACAATCAGCAACACATTAAGATCAAGCACAACTTGGACACTGACCACCTGTGGTAGTCACTAGTCTATCACCCTTAAACCATTTGAATTAAATTGAAATCAAGAAGCAGTCCAGAACATGTCTGCAGTGAACAAAATTTCAATATAGTGTATTTACCATTTAATGGCTCAGAAAGAGCAAGGACGCAAGACCTCTGATCTCAGTTAGCTAATGGCTGAACCCCATGACGCTGACTGACCTCGGGCTGCAAGGCCCAGATTGAGTTCCCCATCCTACCAAATGGTTGAACTCTGCAACGTTCTATTACAGGTTTCCCACACCCTTTCTTTAAAGATGTTCAAAGTTGGGAACTCAGAAAAATACCCTTGATGAACACCTCTGTCTTTGCAGAGTGGGTCCAAAGACTGGCACAGTCAGGAGATCTGAGAGTGTGTGGGGGGAGGCTTATGGGGGTTCAGGGGCGCCTGCACGGCTACCTTCCCAGCGTTTGAGCGATGGCGGCTGGGTCAGGAGCTGGCGTGGTTCTCCTTCCCGTGGTGGATCGGGGCCCAGGCTTCCTCCTGGTGCTTGAGTGATGGCGGTTGGGTTGGGAGCAGGCGTGGTTCTCCTCCTATTATAGTTTTTTACACCAGAGAAACTATTCGGTATTTCAGTTAAAGAATTCTTTGTATGAACATTAAAAATAGGGAATCCTAAAATAAAACTAAAAAGGAAAGTAAAAGAGAAAAGGCAATGATGTAAGATTAAAATAATCCTTAATTCTGAAGATGAAAATGGTCCCTGAACATATTTAAATTGCTTCTTGTTCTTGTAGTCTTAGCTTGTTCTTTTTTTTTCATTATTTAGAGAATACTTTATTACTTTCTGTAATCAAACCCACATAGATATGACCTTACATATTTAATACAGTGCTTTACCCCTGTACAAATGGAAAAAAATAAAATAAATTAACATTTCTAGACCAATATGGCTGTCAATTTCTGTACAATGCCAACTCAACACAGTAAATTGGGATAATTTTGAAACCTCATTGTCTTACTTTTCTCATTGTCGAGACAGAATACCTCACCCAAAGTTGAAAGAGGAAAGGTTATTTAGCTCACCGTTTATAGAGATTTTAGTCCATAGTTGGCTGGCTGTAAGGCAGGGTTGCATTGCAGAGGGGCATAGCAGAGGAGCAACAGTTCATGGTGGGCAGAAGGCAGCAAAGCAGCAAAGTAGTAAAGAAGCAAGCCCAAGAGACTTCAGCAACTT